TGGCTTCCGGCCGTCGTTCTCCCTTCGGGTGGACGAGTGCGCCTTGTCAGGAAGACCCTCTGGCCTTAATTAATTCGCTCAGTAAACAGTTACGGGATTGCCGTTCTGAGTTCCAAAAACAAGACTGAAACAACCTTGGGCTCCGGTGCCGCTTAGCTCTTGGTTCCAGGCCGTGGCGAGTCCAACCGTGGCCTCGGTGCCGCTCTCAGGTGCTGAGACTTAGCTTTGTAACTTCGTGATAAAGTCTGCCTTTTTGCTTAAACTAATTTAAGAGGATGTCAGTCACCAGCCACCCAGAGAGCCTTGGCCAAGGCATGAAAACCAGAAGGACAGCAAGGCGTATAGAAAAGTGGCTGAGAATTCTTTTCTAACAGAGAGCTAAAGTGACTGAAGTTATTTTTTAACAGATGGCTTACAAAACTTGATCCTGCTTAATCTGAACAACAACCAGCTCACGTGGATTCCTCAGGAAGTCAGCAGGTAATTTTGTTTATAGTGAGTGTTGGTGACCATCAACCCCCTGCCCCGTTTCTCCCCACCTCGGTCATCTGAACACTGTGTCCCTAGCTTCAAGTCCTTGTGGGATTTATACCGTAGCAAGGAGGCCCCTGAATGACTGAGGCAGCCACTGATTTTAACCAGATGATTCTTTAAACACTGCAGAGAAATGAGAGACAGCACGACTTGGTATTATAAAGCATAAAAATGGGGGTTTGAAATACAACGTTCTGAAATTGATTGTGTTACTTATTTCCCAACTTAGGGTTCCTGGAGCTTGCTCCACGACACAATTGGGGACATTAAACTTTATTTCATATTAGTATTGTAGAACACTTTCAGCCTGATGGAGAAGATAACATAAAAGCAAAGATTTTAAAACCGGGATGTTATTTTCATTAAAAAAAAAAGCCACATTTTATTATCATTAACAAAAACAAAATGCTGTGTTTCCTTATCCTACACATTTGCACACATGGGCTGTTGTTACAGTCACTTTCTGGAGCAGCTGAAGGCCTTGTCCTTCTGCAGGCAAAACACCCTCTTGGGCTTTTCTTCTGACAGATGGAGAGAGAACCCTACTTGTGTTTAATTCAAAGACTCTCTCTATTGCCTGTTGAACAGAAACAGATGTATTACAACATAAGAGAATCCGGATTTTTAAAGGAGGATACAAAGCTATGAATAGTTCTCAACAAAGCGTTTTCTGCAGCAGTTAGTCTACCCCAATTCACTTATCTGTACCTCTAGCCAGGGTATCTTTACAGTTAGATTTTTACAGAGAAAGTAATAATTTAAGTCAGAGCAACTGGAAAACATTTTTGAAGCTATCTAATTTCTGGAGAAGAGGATTACTCAGAGCAGTGACAATGCCAGTAGTTGTCTGCTTGCTTTTTCACTCGTGCATTTTATCACTGATTTACGTGTTGGTGATGTAATGAAAAAAGGACACCTTGGCAGCTCTGGCAAACTAGGTTCAGGTCCTCTCTTTGTGCAACGAGCCTTATGACCTTGGGTAAGTGGTTTTACTGTCCTGGACGTTGGCTTTCTCATCTCTATAGGAAGAAGTTTAAGCAGATGAACTTCAAAATCCTGGCACCTATAGCACATTGTGATTTCACAATTTAGTAAGCCTCGCTCTGTCTGGAGTACAAAGTACAATATTGTCTTTTGTTAAATGTATTCATAACTATTTATGTGGGTTTTTTTTGATGTTACTGTAAATGAAATTTTAAAAACGTATTTTCCAATTGCTTGTAGCTATAATATAGACATAAAGTCAATTTTTAAAATAATAATTGTGTAGTCTGTGACCCTGCCTTTATTTCTAGTAGGTTGGGGTTTTTTTTTTTTTTTGCATTACCTCTTGTTAGCATTGTAACATTCAAAGTTTGGACTGTCTCTTAAATTTTGAAATATTCTTCTCCCATACCTTTAGAGATTCCTTGCTAACCTGGTTCATCTCTTTTTCTGCTCATACCCGCTCTGGGTGCCTTTTGCAAAAATTGTCAGATGTTCACATTTCTCAGGAATCTTTCCTCTGGCTTCCTCTCTCTCTCCTGCCCTTTTGGTGGTGGTCTTCTTTCTGTCAGTTTCAGGTATTCACATGACTTCCACTATCGAGTTCATAGCCTCCCCCCAAATATCTTTCACTAGCACTGACCTCTCTCCCCTATCCTCTAGTCCCCCATTTTTAACTGTCTAGAACTGTCACTCATTCTGTTATTATTTTAACCTCAACGCATTCAACCTTGAGATCATTATAAATCTTCATTCTTTTTTTTTAAGTGATATGCTGTTCTCTTTATTCCCTCCCCTCCTACAGTTGATATCTTATTTTTTTTTTACATTTTTATTGATTCATAATCATTTTACAGTGTTGTGTCTAAACCTTCATTCTTAGCTTTGCAAGCAGACACATCTGTATTTGAATCTTGAACACTGTTATCTGTTGGTGAATTGGGCAAGTTATTCACTGCCTCTGAGCCTTTATTTTCCTCATTTCTAAATTAAGGGTGATAATTCCAACCTTAGGGTCGTGCTGTTGATTAAATTTAATTCCCAGGAACATCGTTGGTGTTCACTAGTGCTAATTTCTTTCTGCTTCGTTATTCAAAATATTTTCTCAGCTTACTGTGCCCTCCTGTTGCCCTAATTTTACAAGTTCTGTTATTCGAGGCCAAGTTCAAAATGTCTGTTCTTCCAAAATGCTTGTGGTATACCTCAGGTACAATATCTGCAATTGCAGGCTCAAATCTTAATCCTTTTTTCCCTGTTTGTTGGCGTTTTTGATCCTCATGTTATGGCTCTAATATCTCCTTCTCGACCATGAATACATAAGGGCAGAATTTGTGTCCTATCTGTCTTTGCATCTTCTACAGCAACTCAGTGGTACAAGATACATAATCTGTATCTGTATCTAAATCTATACCTGCACTCACACCCGTCTGTATCTGTGCTTGTGTATGTATCCTCCTTTGTTGGCTTCCTCTTCGGTATAACCAAAGTGTATGTACGAAGAATGAAAATAGAATTTTCTTTTCTCTTAAATCTTGGTTTTGATTACGTAAAATACTTTAATATAGGCCATCTGATTATGATATCTTTAAAAGTTAAATTATAACAAAAATTTTTTTATGCTCGGATGATTCATAGCAGTTGTGAACACTTAACGGAAATAAGGCTCAGTTGAGCTACAAAAGATGAATTGACACATAACTCTGATGAGTGATGTCTGTACAATGGACTTTGTTATTCTTGTAAGTTTCATTCATATACTTCATTTGTTTTTTTAGATTAAGAAGCCTTACATATTTGAGTATAAATCATAACCAGCTAGCCAGCATTCCTAGGGAACTTTGTTTCCTTAAGAATCTTTCTGAACTTCAGCTTAACTACAATCAGCTCGTTTGCATACCCGAAGAGATTAAGTTTTTGAAGAAGCTCCAGAAGCTGCTTCTGGTCCGGAACAACATTGAATCTTTGCCAGAGGTAAGCAAAAGACGGAACCAGAATTTCTTTTGTCTGGGGAGGAATTCGTTACAGTACACTGGGGAGCGGTTGTAGAATAGATCTGGGCATCTGAGTACAAGCCGTCATTTGCTTTCCCTCTGATTAGGTGTAGTCAGTTCCCAAAACCCCATGACAAAGGAGGGCTATAACTTGGATTTTTTTTCACATAGCTAGGGCTGCCAGATTTAGTAGATTTGAATTTCAGATTAGCAACAAGGAATTTTTTAGTATAAGTATGTTCCAAATATTGCATGGAACATACTTATACTAAAAAAATCTTATTTTTTTGTGTGTGAAATTTAAATGTAAGTGAGTCATCTTATCTGGCTCCATATACAGCACAAAATATAAGTACGTTTTGGTTTTGAAACATGTGCTAGGTGGCTTCCATTTTTCCTTTATGTTCACTCTCCATCCTTTTCCAGCCTGCTGTATGCCTGGGAGACTGACCTGTATGGGCTTCAGGGAGCTCTTTTGTCCTCTGGCTTCCTCTTGCATGTGGCCAATGAGAGGTTGTAGCAGGAGGTGGAAGGGCAGGAGAGTGAGTACCAGATGGCGTTCCCTTGGTCCTCTCCCGGAAGGCGTTCTGTGAGTTGCCTGCCTGCCTTTCTGGAAGGTCATAGCTAGTGTCAGGTGACCCTCAGTGGACATCACTACCTTCCCGGGCTCTTTAGGGCTGTGGTAATAAAGAACTCCCTGCTGTTGCTAGCTTTGGGGAACTTTGTGGGTTTAGGGAACTGCCATTCTTGGTTTAGGGAACCTTGTTGATTTCCCTACACCCTGTCAAACTTTTATAAATAGTGTCCTTGTTAAACGCTCATCACATTTCCTGAGAAATCTGAGAGCACTGTTTGAGAGTACTATTTCCTGTTGGGAATCTGTCAGTGGGTTTTCTTTCTTTACCTATGCAAATTATAATTAATTTGATAGGAAATGCATGTCATACAGTGAAGTGAGGAATGAAAAAGCAGATCAATTCCTACTGTTTTATTTTTCTCTCAGAAAGATATTTCCTTTAAAAATTCTGTGCATGCTATAATGTGATATGTAAAAATATCCAAGGTGTAGGCTGTCAATAAATATATTTCAAAAATTTCCTTCTTAAATCCATTGCAAATCCTATTTCCTATAAACAAATAGGAAAATATCTTGGAATTACAGAATAAACCTATTATAAGTGTATCTCCCTTATTTGAGGAAGCAGCCATCACAGCCACATCAGGACCACTGTGAAGCATTGTGTTATTTAGTGTTTGTAACAGCTTTATCATGTAGTTTTTATTATACCTATTTTAGAAAAAGGATAGAGAGGTTATGTGACTTGAACACAGTTTGCAAAGGTCCAGAAAGCAGCTCAGATGCCTGTCTAACTTTAAAGTCTGTACTTCAAATCAACACTCTTAACTACAATTTTATAAATCCCAAGTCATTTAGAGTTAAAAAATTTGAATCCTAATAACTTCTATCCTGAATTATCATGTAAAGGATGCGTATGATCATTGATGTTCTTGTATATATAATATGAATCAGTCTAAATGAAAAAATAAGAAAAAATATGATTCAGTCTATCATTCTTTTGGTCTACGTTATAAATAAGACATTACAGAAAATACTCATTTGTTTTGATAATGAACGAATTATGAATCATTTTCTGGTACATTATAAATTATGTGTCTGTCTGCACATGTGTATAAATGTATATGCCAATCCAGTCCCACCGGGCACATGAATAGAGACTAACATATTTTATTTTCCTTAAAAGGAAAGGGTTGTGTTAGCACAGTGCTAAGCAAGAGGCAGATGCAAAGTAAAGGCCGGTGGAATTGTCCATAGAGATGGCTTTCTTGGATTACGTCTGTTTTCAGTTTCCCAAAGGTTCTTTCTGTTTTAAGGGTAGAAATGTCTACCAAAGAGCTCTTTTTTAGGCCCTTTAGGAAGCACTTTCTGATTAGTAACTTACTTAATCCATTCAACAACCATTTTGAAGTAGGGGCTTCCATTAATACCTGCATTTTACAAACTGAAACACAAACTGAAGCACAAAGAACAGGAAATTTGCCCATATTGACTTAGAAATGCTTCTTGTATGATATAAAAATAGGGAAACTAGTGCAAGTCTCCAATAACAGGGAGAATTTAAAGTAAGACCCCATGGCACAAAACAAACCCGTCTTCAGTGCAGGCATGCTCTGGGGAAAGAATAAGAACTTACAAAAATAAATAAAACCAAAAAAGCCCCCAAAAACCAAAAAAAGAAATTTGCCCATAGACACATAGTGTCAGTGGTGAATTTGAACGTGCAGATATTTACTACGAACAGTCTGAATCTCGGCCACCATGTTACGTTGCCCTGGAGTGGTCAGGGGAAATGGAGAGGTCGAAGGATCCAGTGATCCAGGCACAGTGATCTCCTTGAGGAGATGTACTGAAGAACTGATCAGGTATTCGGGAAAGGTGGTCAACCCCATAAAATTCAAACTTACAAGAAGTATTTATAATTCTACATACAGAGTTTTAAAAAGCTCTCTCTCTCTTTTGTCTCCTGACACAGGGACTTTGTGATCTTCTAAACCTAAGAATCCTAGACATAGCTGGAAATGTTATTCAAATATTTCCACCAGGAGTAAGTAAAGCCAACTTCTATTATAATTGAAAAATAATTTTGTTTATGCTTTTGAGAAGAGAAAAATAGGCAGCCAGTAAGACCTATAGTAATTGGAACCTTGACTTTACAAATGGCTCAAAGCTTTGCTTTGTTCTAGAATTTCAAAACTGTTTCTTTTCCAGTCCTTCCTTTGTGTCCTGTGCCTGCTGAACTTGTTTGAACTGAGTGAACTCAGATTGCTATTATATATATTTTAATATATTAGTTTTAACTGTTTTTTTAAAATCATGTACTGCTTTTGGTCACCTCAGACTTTGAAAATATTACTTTCAGGAGCATAAATTTATATCCCTTGCAACTAACCCAAAGGAGACATTTCTGCTGGTTGTTTTTAAGCCATAAACAATGAAGAATGCATTTTTAAAAAAAATTTGGAAATGAATTTTGACTTTGCTTTATTTCACGTAACTGGGAAGCAGTTGGCCTTGGGAAAGAAATGGCAGTTTTTTATATTGCATTTTTATAGCGGAGCAAATGTTTCCACATGCAAGGTATTGATTAGAAGCCCATCAATCCAGAAGGTTTTCAATAAATAGCTGCCGATCCATTAATTACTTTTTCTGATTGATCAACACCAAACTGAGATTTCATTCCTTTTTCTTTTCTTTTTTTACCCCTTGAGCAATGTTTTACACTGAAGATGACTCAAATAGGAAAAATGAGTGTAATGTCTGTGTTTTAGAAAAAAATGTATACAGCTTTTTATCGTCATAAGTTATTTGTAGCATAAAGTTAATGATTTTAATCGTTTTTAAGTGTGCAGTTCTGTGGCACCATGTATCGTCATGTTGTTGCACAACCGTCTTCACCACCTGTCTCCAGAAGTTTTCCATCTTTTCAACTGAAACTCTGCCCAATAAAGACTGTAACTCCCCATTCCTCCTCCCTCTAACCCCTGGAAACTACCATTTTACTTCCTGTCTCTAAGAATTTGAGTACTTTAGGAACCTCACATAAATAGAATAATACAATATTTGTCCTTTGGTGACTGGCTTATTTCACTTAGCATTATGTCCTCAGAGTTCATTTATGTTATGGCCTTTGTCAGAATTTCCCTCTTTTTATGGCTGAATAATATTCCATTGTATGTATATGCCGTATTTTGCTTATTCATTCATCTGTCCACGGACACTTGGGTTGCTTCCTCTTTTTGGCTATTGAGAATAATGCCGCTGTGAACATGGGTGTACGAGCACCTGTTCAAGTCCCTGCTTTCACTTCTTTTGGGCAAATACCCAGAAGTTCTGCTGGGTCATATGCTAACTGCATGTTTTAATTTTTTTTTTTAAAGAAATTGTGAAACTGTTTTCCAAAAATATAGTTTTGAATATTTAATAAGAATTGGATGTTAATACTGACTGGCAATGCTCCAAGATTTTATTCATCCTGCAAGTCTTAGTTCAATTCTTTTCTGCCCTATGATGCCTTCTCTGATGCCCAGAGCAAACTTCTGGTGCCTCTTCTTCTCTGGTACCATTGCAGTTTGTACATTCTGTTGCCGAGTCCAAACTCGTTCTGCTCGCCGCACGACAGGCCAGTAAATCGGGAGATTAGGTGTTGGGGCAAGGAATAGCGACTTTATTGGGAAAGCCGGCAGATGGAGAGGATGGCAGACTAATGTTTTGGAGAACCATCGTACTCAAGTCAGAATTCAGGCTCCTTTTATACTAAAAAAGGGAGGGGGTGTAGTTGGTTGTTGCAAACTTCTTGCTATAGGAATTCTTTGTTCTTGCAGCTGTCCACTTGGGTCAGGTCATCGTGCCCCGTTAAAACCTCTAACAAAACAAACATGATTTTCTATTCTGCAACTTGTTGTCTTTCTTTGAGAGCAAAAGTGTTAATATCCTTAAAGGTCAGAGTTTTGAGAATAGGCTCTCCTATCTATTTCAGGCTAAAGGCAACATTGTTTCACAAAAGGTGCAGAGCTGGCAAGACTAAGCCTAGAAAACAGGGCACAGGGTTAAAGCCAAAGGAACAGACCTAATATGGAGTCAGATTGGTTCTTTTCTGTTATAACACCACCTAGTAGAGTAATCCTTTTCACGTGTGTCTTCCCATTAGGCTGTAAGCTTGCAAAGAAAGGGAGTACTCTTTTCGCTTCCATACCCGCAGTGTCTTGAATTTGAATTGAATAAATATTTGTTAAACAAATAAATAAAAAATAATGTTCTTAAGCTACATCCAGTATTTGCCTTAGTAGTATCATGAATTCACTGTCCCTTCTACAGTGATTCTGTACTTACAGTTTTGATAAAACACTATTATTTAGATCCCATTAATTTGGAGTAATTTTGACAGAATCTGAGTTAGTTTCACCTTGGTAGCACCTATTTCAGAAATTTCAGAAAAACGATATAAGATATTCTGTGAACTCGTCTGAGCTTTAGTCCAGCTGGTTCAAATTAGTAAAATTTCCACATTTGATAAATGGGGCAACTAATGGGGTAAATGGTGAACACAGGATATGCTGTGGTTATCAGTGAGAGAGAGTAAGTTTCAAAGTAGTAACAGTGAACTTTAAAAACAGGCCACGCTTTTCAGGAAGCAGAATAGTATAGAAACGAAGAACACAGACTTGGGGTCATATACACGTGAGTGTAAAGGCCTGATTTTCTGTCTGCTAGCTTTGTAATCTCCGAATTGCTGTTTCATTTGTAAACTGGGTGTATTAATACCACTAACTTCAAGAAGACTGTTAAGGAAGATAAGGATTTTAAAGCATTTTGTACACAGTTGTTGTTCAAGGGATGAAACCTCTTAGGATTACACATAGTATGTGTAACATACACCAATAGTGAACTGCTGCTGGTCACACATAACTATGGTGATCATCCACTGCCTACCGGCGTTAACAGGAAGAGTTAATCTTGTGAAGTGCATGTTTTAAAACCTTACTTTTACTATAAAAATATTCAAACATGCATAAAAGCAGAGGAGAGCAAGAGAAAGCTCCGCGTACCTGTTGCCCTGAAGTATGGTCTTAAAGATGTGAAGATGTGTTCTGTCAAAGGGTCTTATTTTACCTCCTCACAGCTATTTTGTTTTTAAAATAGGGCTTTATTTAAGACTGTTTGCTATTTTATGACCTGAAACTTGGTATATTGTTTGAAAAATGTAGTTATTTCATAGAAGTATAGTTTTTATTCACATAGCTTTTAAATATTCGAAATTGAATTTTCACCAGGATTTTTGTATAAGAAAGTACATTAAATGGAGATCTGCAGTAAGATAATGGGACTGTTATAATTGTTTGTTCATAGGTGTTCAATCAAAAGAGTTTCTGTCTTGATCACAGCGAATTAGCTCTTTTAGAAATGTATTGTTCTTTTATTACCGTTTAGTCAGATCTGGTACAGTGGGATTTTAAATTTTTTTCTCCTCTCCTTTTTCTTCATTTAAACATAAAACTCTTTTTGAAAGCTGTACAAATCGCACATTCTTCTTAAAATTTCAAACAGCAAAAAAAAAAAACAAAACAAAAAACCGTAATAATAATAAAAGTCTCCATTCCAGGACCTCTACATGTGTGTTTTTTAGAAAAGTCTGTTAAAGCATTTTTTCACATTGTATTATGTCTGGATTGGTTTCATGATGTTTCATTTCCTAGTATGAATTTTCTTTTTAAAGAAATTCCATCTAATTATGTAAAAGGTGTCATTGCCAATAGGAAAGCCAGTGAAGAGAAAACAAACTCTGGGGCTAATTCCTCGATCTGATATATCATTCCACAATTTGAGGAAATTCCCAGTGCCTCAGATAAAGTTATTTTATATCCAATTTGTATCTAAGACATGTCAAAATGATTTGTTTTAATAGCTTACAAAGTGCCTCGTGCTTCTTGGATGAACAGGGATTGTTAAGCTATTTTTAAAGGTAACTGCACCTCCCCTTTTGCTCTCTTGTCTTCAGATGTCTTTGTGTAAATACATTTTTCTGATGATAGATTGATGATGATGATTCTAATTTATTGTAGAAAATACAGAAAATAAACAGAAAGCACAAAAGTGCCTTTAGGTTTACCTCTCAGAGCGTGTTTATTGCTGGATTTTTTCCTTCAGGTACCTTATTTTTATATATGTGCTTAAAACATTTCCCAGTCCTGCTGTAATGGGCCTTAAAGTAATATGTGTGTTTTCTTGTGAGGACACCAGCCCTTGGATCGGGGCCCACCCTATCTAGGATATCCTCATTTTAGCTAGTTACATCTGTAAAGATTCTTTCTAAGTAAGGTCACATTCTCAGGTTCTCGGTGGATGGACACTGTTCAGCTTGTCATATTTGGGTAGGACGGGGCGCTTTAGCTCTCTGTTCAGCGCCTCTCTGTGTGGGAACTGTAACTCCCCTACATGAGGCTTAGATGGCGATTCAGTTCAGCTAAGCTAAGCTCTCTTCTAGGTGTTGGGCATGAAGATTTGAAGAATTTCTATCCTTAGGGAACTCTGGGGAGGCAAGTAAACAAATACTGGTGTTGTCCTGTAAGAACTTTGGAATTCATGTTTGAAGAAAGCTCTAGAAATTAAGTGGGCCTTGGAGAGATGATGAGAAAAATACAAAGACAGAAACTTAAAATTAGAGAAGTTAAAGAAAGTGGCACTAATTAGCTTGGAAAGAGGAGGGCAGGTAGGAGGTAACTTCATTGCTGAGTTCAAAATATGAAGGGGGAAAGTAACCAGCTGCCTTCGTAAGTTTTGATGATGAGGGGGAAGAGCCTCGTATTGTTACTGCTGCAGGCGGGCTTTGGACTAAGATACTATAGTGGGATTTCTAGGAGGAGAGGTTACTAGCCTGTCTCTAGATTCTAAAAGAAAGTGTAGAAAACTCAGTCTGAAGTACTTATGATTCAGCCTTTTCAACAGGGAGAAAAGTAAATTACTTTTACTTTTTCCAGTTACCTTGAAACAATTATTTAAAAACAAAATTTGTCTTTAAGCAAAGATCTTTCTCTGGTTCCTTTGGTT